GATCATGTGTTTGCTGGTGAGCCAGAGAGCTTTTTATTATTTTTTTCTTTTCTCTCATTTTTTTTTTTCTCGTTCATACCAGCGAAGCCGGCCTACGTGCGAGCATATCGAGTCGACAGGACATCGCTCACGGCGCTCCCTGGGCCTCCAACTTTCGCGGGGGCACTGCACGCTTCGTTCTCGTACTCCTTGTACCTTCGTTATCCACTCGCCATTTATCCTACGTGCCAGCGTTTATATTTACCTCCCTCTACCCCTCACCCTTCACACCAACACTCTCCATTCTGTGTAACTCGAGACCGCGCCATTACGTGGCATGTCGTGCTCGATTGGTTGAGATATTTTCTGCGCATTCTACTTTTCCATTCGCGTCCCTTCCCCTTTTTCCGGGAAATTCTTCACATTCTTGGATGAATTTCCGATTTGAGTCAAGCCGAGGAATGAGATTTTAAAAAACTTGAAAAAAAAATTTAATTTCAAAAAACTTGAACAGTTTTTGAATAATAGAGTTTAAAAATCCGGTAATTAATTATTCAAATTTATCAGAGGAAAGGCGTAACACCGAGTTGAATTTACGATGGAGAATATTTTCAGTCTCGGTAACTGGAAGCGAGAGGGCGATGTATGCCCATGTCCCCAGTGATAAATGCATTCACAAGACGCAGAGTCGAAAGTTGGAGTTATACTATGAGTTTAGGTATAGGATAAGGGTGAGATGGTAGAATGAGGTACGATTCACAGCGAGGAAGGCTCACGTTGCACGTATACAGGCGATTTTCAACCCCCTATCAGCTGAGGTGATCTCGCCCCCGCCACCTTGGGAGTTGCCGAGAACATGCCGACTCTGCGCCGAGTCAGGATACTTGCGGAGGAATCATTGCGCCGGGGGAATGAGCATGTTGCACTTACGACGATTAGAAAATCCCCATCAGGGGTTAAACCCGCAGAGCGAGGGACAACAACGATTTTTTTTTTCTCGCTATCCTCCGGCGCTCGTGGGAATTTATCCTTCCGGGGATTTTCCCGTTCACCCTGGACTCAAAAAAAAAAATTAAATACCCTAAATCCTGGGGTATATTAACGCTTCGAGGGAGAAACTGTCGCAATGAACCCTCGGCAAACATATAAAACTGTCACAGAATAAAAAAGAATCCTGGTAGCTCCTCCCGAGAAGACCGCGAAATCGCTCTATCTGGAGTCGTATAAATTAAACTCATACGAATGAGATCATCGATTGTATTAAGTGAATTCCCGTACGGGGCACATCGTAAATGATCCTTGCGTGCCATCCGGCCTTTTCAATTGAATCTACCGCGTTAAACTGCAATATTCCGAGTTATTTATAGCCCACAGCAATTATCACGCAGACGAGGGGAAAATGCTCATCGCTGGCTCAATCGTTTGCTGATCAAAACAACAGTGGCTACTCCTTCGAGCTGCTATTTATTTAATTTGAAATGTTCAACATTCCCATTAACATCGGGTTCATTATATTTTTTATAATTTAATCGAGATTGGGGGGAGATATGCCCATGAGGAATTGGACGAGTGGATGGGGGAGAGAAGAATCGGGGGAGATAAGAATTTGGTGGGGGGAAGGGGGAGGGGGAGGTACTCAATGAACGGAGAAGACTTGCTGGACCAGTCAGCCATTTTGAAACACGGAATACTGAGGGCCGTACTATACGACGCAGACATGAAAATTCATTTTACGGTCTTTGTACTGATGACTTTAACGTATTCCATGGAAATTCAATTATTTTTCAATAATTCAAAGTCTCTCCTGCTCCAAATTTATTCGTAAATGTTTATCCAAAACCGCAAACATAAAAATAATTATATTTCTGTAATTAAATTGACAGATTAAATTATCTGTGGAATTTTTTTTAGGGAAAATTTTTTATTTATCAATTGAATTTCGTTCATTCTCATTGATTTGATTTTTATTATAATTATTAGTCATTATTGAGTAATTAAATTAAATTTGTCGTCAAATATATTAATTTATGTTAAAAATGTAATTTATAGAATGAATAAATGATTGAATGAATAAATTACGATCAATCAGTGATTATTTTTTTTAAATATAATAATTAATTTTGTTTATCCATCAATTTTGTTCCAATTTGGTTATTTGTTATGTAAAAATAGTGTGTAATTTTTGGGTTGATGAGAATTTAGACGGGAAAAATGTCGGGAAAGCTGAATTTTAGGTTGACCACCGGGTGGAGATTAGGACCACCGCAGCTACATGACACCGCGTATATTCACCACTTATCGCCGATTATTGCTGGATAAGTGAGTGGAGCCAATTAAAACGGTAATAACGCGACGCCCTGAGCAAACCGCAGAAGTAGCCATTTGGAATTTTGAGGGGCCATTTCATTTATATTCTCAAGGGTCACGGCTTGTTCGCCCTGGAATCGGTGTTTTCCCATGGCAATCGGTTCTTTTTTTTTTTTTAGAAATTTTGAGACGTGATGGGAATGAACGGATATTGTTTATTGGAGAAAATGACGGATGAAAGGGTTAAGTGATTAGAGAACGCGAATCGATTTACCGATTTCGATTGGAAGCCTCGAATATGGTCACTTGATATTCTGACCGGTCACTTTCTTGTTTCTGTTTTATTTCCGTGGAACTCGAATTTTTCATGGTGCAACGAGCGATTGCATTAGGATTTTCAAAATTATTCCGAGAGCTTTGAGGTACGTGAGAATGGAAAAATAAATAGAAAATGGGCGACAGTCGATCGGAAATATTTATATATTTATATTAATGAAATAAATTCCCATTTAACGCGCAGAAATGATAAATTCTCTAATCCAATTCTTGGATTGAGTAAAAAAAAAATTGAATAGAGATCTTAATTCGATTGAAATGAACAATTTTTCAATGTGTACACCCGAATTTAAATTCTCCCATTCCCATATTCTGGTATCACTGATAAAAAAAATTATATGACGTGATAAAAGGCATAAAATGGCGAAGAAGCGTGTCCGTCGGGCGGCAAAATTCCCAAACTGGTCCCAGGGATATTTAGCACCCATAAAAAGGCCCCTCTCTCATTACCTCTTCATCGAACGGCGAATGTATTTTTAAAATGTAAAATAAAGGGCCCGACGAATGATCTTCACAGAATTCATGAACTCCGCGACGAGTGATTTAATTGACACGCGCACGCGAAAAATTCTCGTCCACCCAATCATGCGAAAGCGTTTGCACCCCATGAAATGAAAAGGAATTCGTGATAGTAAAAAAAATTTTTCCACCCCTCTTAAACGTCAAATATCGCAGGTCTATAGTCATTGTTACAAGAATATAAGGGAGAATAGTTGGGTGATGGAGGGTGGGTGAGCTTTTCGCGGGTATGTAACAACGGGGTTGTAACTAACCGGATTCCGTCGGTGGTGTGCACCAGGACCGAGCTATACCCCAGAATATGGCAAATCTATGGCCTCATATCCCACGACCAAACTGTACACTAGCCAAATGGACGCGGCAATAACGACCCGTTAACGCTAATTCGTGGAATTCTGATTGACGATCACCACAGGGAGAACACCCCCAACCAACCCACCCCGAACCAAACACAAAACACGAGCACCAGCCCCCGGGTGTATAGCTGCCACGTTAAATCTCATTTTATCCCCAGACCGAGGAAGTCCCGTAATGGTGTGACGATCGGTTAGTCTCTACTATTTCTCCCCTTGACCCAAGTCCAATGACTCGTCCATCCCTCCATCCAAATCCCTCAGGACACTCTTGATTTACGGGATCGGGGGATCCAGCCCTTATCGATCGATTCGCGTTCAGAAGTTCACCCTTGGAAAATCCGGAGTACATTCTCTCCTAGGAGAATTATTAACCGACTGAAATTACCGCAATTACCGAAATTACTGGTAATTATTTCTGTTGTTTTTTTTTTTAATGTTGAGAGAAATTTAGGGGCTTGACTCGGGGAGAGAGTGATATATTCTTATAGTCTTGAGCGAAGCGAATGGTAATAGAGCGGTTTATTACGTCGAAGGTTAAGGATCACGAGGTAACACTGTGCGCGGGGATCACGCGTAATTAAGTACTCGTGAATTGCGATGGGTGTGGGGTAGAATCAATTATGATTCTCCATGGACGTGCAAAAGTCATATCGGTAATGCGATCATTAAATCACTCGGCGTTGCGCATTTTCTCACGTACGTCAAGGATAAGAGGGGCGTGAAAAACATCCTTATCGCGTATTATGTGTATTACGGTTGGATATTATCGAGGAATATGATGTTTACAGGAGGATGAGTTGTTTCAATTGCTTCATCCTTTCACTCACACAAAACGGTTACGCAACAACTGCTGATTTTTTCTCACCAAATTCAAAGCAGTTGACAGAATTACAAAATAAAATTCAACTCACGGATGAATCCCCGGAGCAGTCAGTCCTGCTTTCGTCAAGAACTCGGGAAAACTGAGGAAAATCCAGACATTTCCTTCCCCATACCTGCTGAAATCGAATTTCCCTGAAGAAATGAAAAAAAAAGTGCGAGATGTTATTCTCCTTGGGGTTAACTAGCTTCCGAAGGACACGTACCCTTCTCCATATCACTGCAGGGTGTCAGTTAAAAAACCGAGGATTGGCTACGCATTGAGTGGCCCAAGGCCCCGTAAAAAAGTCCCCGTGAAAAAAAGAAACGAATCGTACATTTCCTGCAACACCGTAGGTTTTACGGTTTACGTGGGGTACAAGGTCTCAAGGGTTGTTAAGGGACAAAAAAAAAAAACGCGGTGACCACCGAGGTCAGCCATAAAAAACTGTTCAACGGGGTGACCCGGCGGGGGTGTTGGGTCGGTTTATGGCCCAAAGGGTCGTATAACCTGTGCCTCTGGGCCCTTGGGCCTTGGCCGTCGGATGCGGCTAGACAACCTCGACCGTCTGACTCCGCAATCACCGCAAATACCCACTCTCTGGATCCCTTTTTTTTTCTACCCTGCAAAATCTTTTTTTTTACCTTATGCTGGGACTGAAGGACGATGTCCCAATTGCTCAGGGGACTAGTGGGTTAAATAACTCGGCGTTTAGTCTCTGTTCAGCCGTTCCTTCGCCCGGATGACACTCTCTGGTGATTTCTGAGGTAAGAAACAAGAAAATTGTCATTTTTAGACGGCAATATAGACATGGGAATCGATGAATTCCCACGGAACTTTCGGCGGTCGCAATCGCTGTCACGTAATCAGTTGGAAAATATTCATAACTGGAGTAATCGTGGGGTCGCCGGAGTCCCAGTGATAAAGTCGACGCGAGGATGGAGGGACCGAGAGGAGATTGATAAAAGGAATATCGAATGAAGAGGCTTTGGATTTTAAAAAATTGAGGGCAAGGGGTTCCAACCGCTCCGCCGACATTTCTCCATGGAAATCTCATAATTCGAATTTTTTAATTGACCTCTCAATTTTTATTCTAACAACCAAGAAATTCCTGTCACTGTAACGAATTATAATTGAAAATCCAAAGCTCCTGAATTATTTTACGGATAGTTTCCGCAGAAAATAGCGTAGAAAAATTTTTTGTTCATTTTCTGTAGAAATTCCGCGCGTCCATTTTGTCGTTGACACTTTTAAAGGCATCATCACTCCAATAAAAGTGGCTGTCAGACGAATTTTTCGACTGACTCTCAAGCCGATTCTCTTTTTCTCCCCCATCTCTCTCTCGCTCTCTCCTCACGTGCCACAGCAGTCAAATAAAAACTCGCCTTTGTTTGATAGCCGACTAAATCGACCTGCCAACCCCCTAATGCGTCATTACTGTCGGTCTTTACGGCCGACTCGTATCATTTCACTTAGGTATATTGATATGGCAACGAGTTCCCGACCTAGTCCAACGTGAAATGGCATGGCTTCCCAACACTCCAGCCCAATGTGTATTCCGATGCCCCATACAATCCCCCCTTTTTCGCATGTATACCCCAATCCTAAAAATTGCTGGAGAAAGAATACCGCAAAGTAATACTCAAACCCCCAATGTACCTCTCACCTCTATCAAAACCGCCATTTTAGCTCTCGTTTACTCCTTCAATCAATTTCCTCCACTCTTTCAAAATTGTTACTCCATTTTCCGCACGGACTCCATTTTGATTTCATTTATTCGGAGCAGTAACTCTGGCGACGTGCGCTGAAAAGAATTTTCATTCATTAGAATATTAGAGTATTATAATTAATAATAATTGAGAGGGGATTCAAGTATTAATGTTAATAAATGCAGTGACAAAAAATGGTCAAGGTTAAAAAAATGGTTGAGGCATCGGTATTTCGGCAGCTCAAGTATTCCTTCAACATTTACACCCCAAGGCCTTTGAAATTAGCCTAACAAATTCAATAATTCCCGGTTGACGTAGCGAGTGAGTTTGCGGTGTAAAAAATCCATTACCGATAAGAAACGAACAAAGTGCTTGTTCTTTATTCGCCTCTCGGCCACCTCGAGTACTTAATTCACGATTGTGAAATTGCGCGAGACGAATCGTAAAGAAGATAAATGGATTTTAAATTGTAACCGAGTTAAAACGTAGGAAGTAAACAGGTAGGAGTAAAAAGAAAGGGAAATGCTGAATGTTTTGCTGTTTATTTTTCTCACTTGTTTATTTTGGTTGGCGTTTCTCCATTAACCGTACGACAGTCGGACTTAGACTTACTGCATATTGATCTCATCGATCTTGTCGGTTGTTTTTTTATCTCCAAGGTACAATACATTTATACCAAAGACTTTTGAAAATACTCAACTGTCGCCCGTCGACGCAAGAAAATATTTAACAACTTCATAATTTTTCGAACTCAACATTTTTTATTTCTCGCGAAATTCTCTCGATTTAAGCAATCCCTATTTTTTCGAAACTCAACCCCTTCCCCATTATTCTTTTCTAAATAAATAATTCGGTTTAAAAAAAAAAAGATTTTTAATCAGCAGATTGTTTTTTTGGGTTTGTTATCGGAGGGGCGGGATGAAATTGTTTTTTTAGGAGAATTTACAGGATGATTGACACTCGATTGCAATTTGCATAGTAAAAATTTCAAGTGCATGCTGCAATGTTCTCTGGGTGATACCGCAATTTGCACATACGATGCGCATTAGAAATCAGTGGGAAATAAATCCGTGCGATAAACCCGTGAACACTTGAAAAATAAAAATCACGTATACTGTGTACATGACAGACGAATCGAGTGAGTTTCGTCTGTTGTACAACGAGAGGGTTCGGGAGGTCATTTCTCCCCGTGTCGATTACAGACACCTCCACGGCTTTCACGATCCCCTTATCACCGCGATAGCTCGTGGATGTTGAATTAATTCAACAACACTTGTTACTACCCGAATAAAAACCGTGTATCTCGGTTTTATCAAATAATCACGAGCGAAAAATTATTCTGCATCAGGAGTGTGAAAAAAAAAATTCAGCAAAAATTTCTAGTGGAAAAATTGATATCCAGGGAAAAATCCTAGTCCTGAATTATTTAAAGAATTTTCACTGAGATATGAGGAATTATAATTTTTCATTGACTCTCGCTTTGCGAATTTTTATTTCTAAGTCGGTGAATTTTTTGCGCAATTTTTTCAGTTTTTTTTAAATTTGTTGAGGGCTATTTTCAGTTAATTTTCTTTTTCCTTCGGTATCGGATAACTGGAGTGCAGTTGATAACGCGTCAGAAGCAATTTCCGTTCTACTTTGTTGAAGGCGTCTGTCACGTTATTATGTGCCGTCGCATGGGAATGCAACCGTGTTATCATTACATTTTTTGTCGTCTTTTTTACGTCGTTGCGACGTAGGGAAATATTGACCAGCAAGAAAGTTCATTCTCACGTACTTTCAGTTCGTAAATTAATTAAAAAATCCGTATTTTATTAAAAAAGCTTTTCTCCCATCAAATCCATAAAAATCATAATTTATTATTAATTTTGTCTACTACTAAAAAAAAAACTTGAGTTCCCGTGAATTTTTTTTGCACTTGCGATGAAATTTTTTCTAATCCTCAAAAATGATCGAAATATTTTCATTTAATTACCAGAAATGTTAATAATTAAATTATTATTTTTCCAGTACCACTATTTATCAACTCCATTTATTGACATTGGAAAGTTCTTGGTAAAGGATTTTTGATGATACGGCGGCACGTGTCAAAGAGGTCCTGCGCGCTGGTCCGGCGAAAAGCAACGGAAAAAAAAAAATCTCGATCAGAAAATATTGGAAAGTAAAACAAAGAGGCCGATAGAGAGTGCAAGAGAGAGGGATAAAAGAGTGAAGAAAAGGATGAGACGAAAGTGTGTGTCAAGATGGCCGCGCAGTGGCCAGGAGTTGTGACGCGGCGCCGCCTGCGCCGTTTTCAAAGGGCTATACCCTCTCCTCGCCACCAAATAATCCCCGCAAACAACTCAACGCTCTCTCATTTACCACCATGTTATTTTTAACCTCCCGTGCTTCATCGGCCTTTTTCGGCCTCGCGACGATTTTTTTATTTTGCACTCAAGCCCCCGGATGTGAGAGAAAATTCTCAACTGATTCAAAATTCCCCGCTCCCCCCTCACCACCCTCCCCGCCAAAAGAAGATGCAACAAAAAAGGAAATCGTTTTTTCTGTCACTCATAAAAATTTAATTATTCATGCAAATAATTAAAGGATACGGCAATTGATGCATGCACACTCGAACCAGAAAATCAATAAAATGGATGATAGAGAGGGAGAATTCATTTTTGAGAGGAGATTTCTGGAGTTTTTCGTGCGGAGATTGTTGCAATTGTAATTAGAGGAGTAATGGGATAGTTAATTGTTGAAAATCGAACCTTTTGTGATGTTAAAAAGGATGGAATTCCGTGGAATGGCGCGAGGCGCGGAAACACTCGAAAACTAGTCACAGCTGGACCATGCGTTGTGGAAGGGGATAAACAAGATGGCCGCCGCCAGTGATACCGTTGGAAAGCAGAAATCCGGGGATTGACTGGACAAACTCTTACACTGTGAAAATCAAGTGATATCGGTTAAAATGTTGTTTTGTGGTGATTAAGTGTGACGTGACGTGAAAATTCGGGTGATTAATGTGGGATTTTTTGGTGTGGAGATATGACCACGCCCAAGATGCGTGCGGCCATCTTTGAGAGATGTGTGGACACCACGTGAGTCAACGGAGATGAACACCCTCCAGTGGGATAAATCCAATCATGGCATCCAGGTAATTCACCATTTTCTTAATTTATCAAGTCTTTATAATGTGTCAAATCAATACATTGGGGATTTCATCTTCTCGTTGCTACAGAGAATAAAATAATTGCTTTCTCTGACGAACTCAAAGGAAAACAAATACATTTTTATTTAATGGTACATCAAACAAGAATTTATCAAATTCACATTGAAATCCAGGGGTAGATGTTTTTTTTTGTTGGCTTGGAAATTCAATGGAAATAAATATCAAACTGAGAATGTGAGTTTTCAAGAGGTAAGAGGCGTTGAGAAAATCCTGATGACTCAATTCTCCAAGCAAAACATTGAGAAATTCTAGGAATCATTACCCGATGTACAGGAATGTTGTATTTATTTTTTAAGGTTACTGGGGTCAATGTCACGAGTCGAGTACAGTCCGGGGATATTAAACAGTGTGAAGGGAGATAGCAAAACATTTCAAAGGCACTCGTGGCCACTCGAGAAATTGAAATCTCTGACGTCCACATGTTTCATCACGAGGTAAAAAAGCCGTGAGATATTCCGTTTTATTCTACCCTGTACTCCAACAATCGCAATTGACGTCTCAGATTTTAGAATGAGAGGTAAAAGTCATTCACGGGTGAGAGAATTTAGTCGACCTGCGGGACAGACTCCAGTCAATTTTATCGCTCGCATTTCCAACTGCAATAAAATAAAAAATCGAGTCAGAACGAGTCAATAAATCGGTCGTTAAAGTTCGATCGGTCGTTACGATAAAACCAATCGTCACAATTCACGAACAAAGTGAAAAGACATTTTAGAAGTAATGGAGCACCAGTGGCGCGATTACATTGACAATATTTATTTTAAATTGAGTCCTGGAATAATAACTCTCTTTACAAATCTATCAGTCAGTCATTGCGATTTTATTTTGATTAATCACTGCTGCAATTCCCCTAAAAAACTGAAAGACTGGATATTTGAAAAAATTAAAAATGGGTCAGAAAATAGTAGTCGACAAAACTGGCGAAAAGATGAGAGATAAATCGTGTGGATGGCCCTCGCAGATCAGTTTGTCCTCATTGTTCCTCAAAACAAGAGAGAACTTACGACCCACGTAAGTGTACCTGAGATATACCCAGAAAAAAATCTGAATTGCTTCATCCAACCAAGAATTATCTCTTGAAGTCGATCTGGATATTAATCAGCTTGGTATATGGCCAAAGCATTGCCTCCTTGGACCGAGATTTTACCTTGAGTTCATCCGTCTTCGAGGTCTCACCAGAGTTCAAGTCTGAACGAATAAAAAGCAGAAAAAAATCCCCAGTGTCTAAATTAAATTTAAAAAAACCGAGGAACCAGATAATATTTGAAACATCATTGAAGATTAATTCCATCTCCCAAAAATATTTCTAAAAGTCTGGAAATCTCGAAGCATCAATTATTAATACTATTTGATAATAATTATTAGTATTTACCAATTTTCTGAGGCCATTCGTTCTTCAATCATTCAGTTCTCTGGTTTTTTTTTCAGGCGAAGCTGCCCACGTGAGACGAATCTTCTCATTCATCAGAGAATCACCTACGCCTCAACCTCTGGATCATGATCATGATCCTCATCATCCAGGAGCGGTGTACACGGTGAGTAAATGATACTGACTTGAATTACGCCTACCCCTGACAGTTATGGGCGACGGTGATCCCGACGTAGGACGATCTGAGAATAACGTGCTCTGGGATTAACCAAAAAAAAGCCCTTTGTCTGATATTTTTCTGGATTTCATTGTAACGCAAACAATGAACGGAAAATAGGAGGCGCCATTGTGACAGTCGAATGCGTTAGACACTGGGATAGAGTGTTGGATCGATAATTTTGTACGACCGCGCGTTGAATATATTCTTGAGTCATCGGTGATAACGTAAACATTCTAGCTATTCCGGAATTCATTTTCCTTTCAGGAGAAAAAAGTAAATAAAAATAAACAAGTCCAGGTCTCCAGAGATCCGGGCAAAAAAAGATGGAATGGGAATATTTTTTTCAAATTTTCACAAAATTTCTGGAAGATTTTCCAGATTTTTTTTTATGAAGCAGAAAAAAAATCGGAAGACAAAACAATTTTATTTTTGGGAAAGGTTTTGAAAAATTTTAAAAATCAAAAAACAACCGTATAATAAAAAAAAAATTATACTCGCAAAAATTTCTAGAAAATGATAAAAAAAAATTGCGAAACAAATTTTTGAAAATTTCGAAAAATTGGAATTTCGATTAAAAGTGGAAAGAATATTCCGCTGTCAAAGCCTCTCTGATTTATCATAAACATTCTTGGAATTTGTCCATTCGAATAATTTTATTCGTCGCAATTTTCAAGAGTATCTAATAAGACAATTATTCGCTCAATCCTAATTACTTTTTTCTCTAAAATAATTAAGAATTGCGTGTTTTTTGTGGGGAATGAGAAATTCTTCGATCTATTCACCCCAAAAACTCGGGATTCCCATTCTCTAAACGTCGCGAACTTCCCCCTGATCTCGTCGTTGTCATGAGAATGGCCGATAACATTCTCACTTGGACCGGCATCACCTTCTCCAAACAGGTACTTACCCCACCCCGTGTGCGGTTTCGAGCGGTAAAAACCGCAAACAGGAGACGAAAAAAAGAATAAAAAAAAATATAAGTAAAAAAGCATGGCATCGATTTACACGTGCAAGGAGCTATGTGAAGTTGGCATCGAAGTTTGAAAAATCTAACTTTTTTTTGTTGGTTTGGATTGTACTCATTGAGTACTTGAATGTACCCTGTGCACTTTTTTTTGTACCCTCTTACTTTAGCCCTGAAGCAGGGGGGCAAAATCGTGCAGAATCGGAGTTCAAGAAAAAAAAAAAATAAACGTG